GTAGAGCAATTTAGGTAATGTGTGACTGTAGTCACAAATCCGTGAGCCTTTTATGAGCCAAGCATGCCAGAATGTGTACATTAAGTGAGTGGAGCTTCTCACAGAAATTTTGTTGGCCATTTCAAGCTTTTTCCACTTGATGATGCCATTAGCCAACAGATTTTTGGAAGTCTTCATTTGGAATGACCTTTAGAGTCAATTTTTAAGTTGCAACAAAAACATCAGAAATATCACCTGAAGATCAGCATAATACTAGAGTGGGGGAAGGCTATTTTTTTTTAAATTGCTTGCTTCCTTTTTATTATCCAGCTGGACTCTTCGTTATTTTGAGCTCTTTCCCCAGACTGAATTTTCCCTCGAAGGAAGCAGTTGCACAATCACTGAGGTCCCTTATGAGAAGGTGACATGGTGTTGATAGACCCATTAGGGCCATGAGCCCCTTCTGTACACTTTAATAGGCACTGGAGGGACTTCTGTTTTTGGCAGTTTATCAAAACTCCACGAGAGTACGAAAAAATCCTACAGACTTTGTGTACAGTTGGTGCTCATTATGTTGTCCTTTATCTCCTCTAGTTGAGCATGCGCTCGGAGCTTGGATGGAGTTCTCCCAATACCTCAGGCACACCAAAAGAAGGGGAGACTATGTCACCAACAGCTTCTAGACAGCATATAGGTCCCAGCCACCTAGCCCTGTGTCCCCACACTCTAATATTTTCCTTCCTATAAATTTTCCTACTGAAATTGGTAGCACTTAACCATTAGAAAATATTTTCTTTACCTTTCTCTACTTTCCCACTAGCTTCCATCTTCATCTCTCCCCACCCTTAAAAAAAAATTAAACACAGAACATACCTGCCTAAGTGAATAACAAATGAAAAGTTGCTAACCTCCATGAAGAAAAAGGAAAAGCTCAGCTGAGCTCGAAATGAAATGATTTCAGTTAGTCAACAGTATCTAAGGTAGACAGATCTTGTAAGAGGTATATTGGGGTGAAGGGGGACAGTAATACAAAAGAAAGTCCTTGGGACCTCAGAGAACCTGGGACAAGTGACTGTAGCTTGTAGGGTCAGGGCTGATGGGGACGGGGTACAGTACAAATTTATAAATGATTGGGTTTTGAGATCTCAAAGGGGCCCAAGGCCAACTATGAAACCTAGCAATAAAAATCTCATATAAAGGTATTTTTCACCGACATGTGAACCCGCTCTTGTCGGCCCTGTGTAAGGTTAGCCCTCTTGCGTCCAAGTTGCTAGTCTGGCCAGATGGCGGGTAGCCTTGGTTTTCTTCTGGGCTTGCACTTGACACAGCTTGTGCCCTTCCCTCTGGTCGCAACAGCAAAGTGGCACCACATCAATCTACAGCAGCAAACACAACAAAGCAAGAACCTTCCTTCCTCCAGTTGTACAGTGAAGGAAACCTAATCCCCACCTTGCGACATTTGATGATGTGTGTGAAGGTTTTCTTTTTCTAGTCCTAGGAGAGAAAATGGAGGCTTTGTGAAAGTACAAATTATAACAAGCTGGTAATTTATGTGTAAGAAATTTTTTTGTTGCTGTTGTGGCATGAGAATTTAAAACAATCTTAGAATACAAATTTGATCTTGGAATACAAATGAAGTAAACAGTGTTTGGCAGGAGGCACCTGTACCAAAAAGGGGGTGGGGGGGTGATGGGACTTATTGTTTAATGCTGAATTCCTTTAAGGGATCAAACACTCGCATGCGCCCAGGGCCAGGCAGGGCTTCTCAGGGAGGGGAGCCGAAGAAGGGGAGCTGGTGAACTGGGGAGCACGTGCCTGTCCATGAGGCAGCTTAGCTCCAGCCAATTGTTGTCATGGGGAATGTGGATCTGTGTTGGCCAGAGCCTCAGATATTTTAAAAGCAATGCCAGAAATCCACAATTTTATGTGAAATCACCCAAGGTCTACAAATTGGCAACTCACTCCGGTTTTTAAAAAACACTGCTAGAGCCAGACACATCACATCTGTGGGCCAGACTCTGCTCTTGGGCCTCCGGTGTGTGCCCTCTGTAGCTGTGTATTCCCTTAGAGCGTGTGGTCAGAAAGAGGGCCCGCTGGTTTCCATTGTGGGCTGGCGTGGGGGGCTGCAGGATGGTGCCACTGGAGCAGGCCGAGAAAACCACCGGCAGCCTGGCTCAGTTTCCTTATCATGTTGGATGATTTTCAGCCGCTGCTCCCAGCTGACCTCATCCCTTTCCCCATTACTCGGGAGGGAGTGCCCACCCATGCCAGGTGCCCCATGCAAGCGCAGATGCGGTGGCACCTTGAAAGAGGGAAGCCCTGAAACCAGACAAGAGGAATTGGGTGGTAGAGAGAATAAGGCATCTTAAGGAGATGGACACATGTGGAAGCCCATTAGGAGGAGAGGAGGGTCCTGGACTCCTTGGGCCCCTTCATCTGAGGCTGGACCACCCAGCCCACTGAGATAAATATGGGCAGTGGCCCAGCTCTTCCCGTCATGAGCTGTAACTGTTGTAACTTTTGTGTTCTGGCCTATGGAATAAAGAACCTCACTACCATCTCCAAGTCTAACCATGAAGATCATCTGCTTCAATGTCATGCTTTATATTATCCACTAGCTATGTCCCGTTAGAATAGCTGAACTAGAGTGGATATTGCTGAATGTATTATCAGAACACCTCAAACAGGGGCTCGATGAGTACTTGTGAATTTGCTTCATTAAGACGTGTCCATGTGTATTTTATATTTAGTCTGTATGTCCTTATATTTAAAGATGCACTCGATCCCCAGTCTTGAAACATGTTTTCCTGATTCATCTCTTCACGAATCCATGCTTCTGGTGATATTGTTTTTGTCTGCACCCCATCCTGACACCCACTATCATCTTGTGTTCACCAAGACCACAGGAATAGAGTCTGTATGTGAACAATTCAACCTGGAGTACAGATGTAGTGAAAAGAAACTAGATTCCAAGAAAGTCTGTCAGCTGACGAGCTAGAATCCAAATAGTCTGGATTGTCTCAGAATCCACCAGAATGGAAGAGAAAGTCATTTTGTGTAATTTGCAAGTATGAGTGTGCATTATTTTCCTCTGAAAATCTTTGTGAGGATTAGAGGAAAAGTGACATATTTTTGTACCAAGCAATTTACTTAAGAACCTCTTTTTAGATTTCTGTAAATAATAAAATTTCTAGATATATTTATATATAGAGAGAAAATATATAACAAATACAATAATAGATATATAAATATATAACATATATCAATATGTATTATTACTTATTGGCATGATTAATATAATTGTATAATTATTAATATTATGGTAATAATTAATTTTATATGTAATATGTAACCTTGATATATAATATTATATATATATAACAAATAAATTGATTTTCTCTTCATTTTAAACCTTAATGTGATTTCAGAAGAAATCACTTTTTTTTTTTTAAGAGAGGGAGAGAGGGGAGGAAGGGGCAGAAAAAGAATCTTAAGCAGTCTCCAAGCCCAGTGTGGAGTCCGACACAGGGCTTGATCTCACAACCCTGAGATCATGACCTGAGCCAAAATCAGGAGTCAGACACTCAACTGACTGAGCCACTCAGGCACCCCCAGAAGAACTTTTAATATTTATTCTAAATGGATAATCTCATTTGAACATGGTAATAGCCTCCCAATCCTTTCTTGGATCAACCCTGTATGCACTATAATTAAAAATATATAAAAACGGTATATGCATGTGGGATGAGAAGAAGAAACACTGGAAATTAAATCAACTGATGGTTTTGAGGTATGTGTGGCAAGTGATTTTTTTTCCCCATTTATTGTAATTAAGCAATTTGTGTAGCTTAAAAAAAGAAACGATCTCAAAATGGGAAAGCAATGCCTCCAGAGTAAGAGTTTCCTTTTCAAAAAGAGTCATTTTTACACTCTTGAGCTTATATTACTTAAACCCCTTTTCCTCATTAATTATACCCATTTTCATCAGCCTAGACTTATTTTCACTTCCCAATAACGTATTCCTTAGTCTCCTTATTTCTTGGCCTCATCAAGATACCCCCTTGATTAGAGAACCGAAAGAGGAGAGAATACATTATTTCGGAGGCTCAAGTCTGAATACATAGGACAGTTTCTATAATAAGAAAGCCAAGTTCCAGGAAAGGGCATCTTGTTTGCTCTCGGAGTCGGCTCTGCGGGAGACGCTATGCACTCAGGCACTGCCCGGAGATCTATATTTCTGTTCTTGACATCTGTAGGTACCACTGCCGCCGCCGATGGTGATGATGATAAGTGATGGGAAAGCGAACTGGGAGGTGATGTATCTTCCTTGACAGATTTAAAGGATTGCCACGGGCAGCCCCGAGGCAAGTGCTGACTGAGGACATTCTGGCGCCTGCGTCAGGTCACTGTGGCACCGTCAGGCAAAGCTGTGAGAAGCCCGAGCCAGACGGAAACCCTGTGGTTTACATCTATGCCTGGATCCTGTTTTGGGGGGAGGGTGAACTGGACATTGTCCTCCAACGTCTGAAGTAGCCATTACTGTTGGTTAGTTGGTCTCTGTCTTGTAGTTGGGTTATTTCCATGGGGGGGCCAGGATTTACTGCTCCAAGCGTGGCTTCCAGGGATACGCCTGCCGGAAACAGTGGAATATGGTGAATACCCTAAGATTTTGAGGCTTGCTCCCCATCCCCAAAGCCCTGCTTTCCCCCAGGGTGTGGTAAGTGCAAGGTGTGGGCTGGGTCAGTCCTAATATTAGTCCCTGGGGATGCGGCTGACCTGAGTTACTGTCCTGGCAAAAAAATAAGCAAACAGATGAAGCAAAGCAAAGGAATTTGGGTGCTCCCTGGGGAGCCTGAGGAGCTGAACAGCCAGGCTGGGCCATCAAAGAGCGAACATGTGCTCCAAGGTAGCACTAGCACCCAATTACCCTGCTTGTTTTTGTTTGTTTAAATATAGATGGGAGTTTGGGTTATAAAACAGCTAACCCTTTTGCTTTTCTTTTTTGCCTCTGTCTTTTCCAGGGCTTTTATAAGTATTTGACTTTACTCAAAATGTGCAAAGAGGAATAATGGAAGCGCCCGAATACCTTGATTTGGATGAGATTGACTTCAGTGATGATATATCCGTAAGTAGCCCTTCTTGCAAGCAACACTTCAGGGGATTCTGCCCTCGCCTCCATGGGCTGCTTTATTGTAATCTGTATATCCTAAACTCTCCCAGTCGCATTGAGCAGTTGACAGCAGAAATCCCATGTGGCAGACAAAGTGGGGTTTCGGGGTCTCCTGGACCAAGAAGTGAATCTCACTTGATGGTGTGTGTGGTGGGGGAGGGGTTTGGCCTCGCTGAGCCTCCCCTTCTTAATCTGTTTCCTTGTTGTCAAAATCATTCACTGAGTGAATGTGTAAAGTGCCTGTGTATAGCACACGATTAACCCTATCAGGGATAATTCCCTTTATGTGACGGGCTTCGCCACAGCCAGCATTCTCTGGCGTTCACAAGGACACGGATGGCCAAGTTATTAACTGATGAACAATAAGAGGAATCCTCCCAGTCCCTGTGGGGTCAAAGCACAGGTTGGATGCTCTGGGGGAATACTGAGAACGAGTCATGCGTTGATAAGGACTGGACCAGCTGCCCTCTGAGGGCCCTACTTAATCCTGTAAAGCTGTGGGCTGATGAGCGGCTTCGTTCCCACAACAGCCGCCAACTTCCTGCTGCCTCCCGCTTCCCTCACGGCGGCTCTGATGGGTCATCCATACGTAGCCTGCGTAGAGCTGATTGTGACGTACCCCGGGCCACACGATCAGTTCTGCCGCAGAGCCAGCCGGCAGCCATGTTGGCTCCTCATTCCCCCGCCAAACTGAGCTCTCGGAGTACGTGAAGAGGAGGTTGCTGTTTCTGAGCTAGCCGTCTAACTTTTCTTCCCAGCACCTCTAGGGTCACAGCTTCCCACCCTATTTTCGTCACTCTCTCAGGGCATGTAGCTTTGGGTCACTGCTAGAAATGGTCTCAAAAAGATAAGCTCTTTTCACACACCTCTGGCAAGGGAGTTACTTCTCTACTTCGCCATTCACTTTGAAGTAAAATTTGCATACGGTATACCAGCACTGGATTACTAGGGCGAGTTTGAGGAATGACCTGCTTTATACAACCTTGGATGAGTGCTGTGTACCCGGGGAATGCGAATTCAGCCTCTCCCTATCCTAGCTTCCAGACAGTCTTTATGAATCCTCGTTAAGACCAACGTGAAGTGACTTTCTTCCTTTCCACAGTTTCTTTTTGTCTCTTCTCTCTCTTTTTAAGTCACTCTACTTAAAAGTGTTCAGAGCATGGTTCTTTCATGGCACTCACCTCGAGGTATTTTGAGCTGAGTGGGGAGAAGCAAGGAAAGAATCACGTGGGGAGGTGGAGGGAGTGTGGAAACCGTCTTAGAACGGGAAACAGGCATTATGATGAGGAGCTGAGAGCAGCTCTCTTAGCTTTGATGAAGCTGCATTTTAAGAGCATGGGCTTTGGAAGGGAGCTCCAGCCTTGCTCTGACCTTTGCTGACTGCAGCATAGTAACTTCTCCTCTCCGAGATACCTACCTAACTTTTAAGGCTATTTTAAGCATTGAGTGACCAAATAAAATACAGGGAGCACTTAGCTTGGCACATAGTAAGTTGCTCTTAAAGTAGCTTGTGTTATTATCTCAGTGAATAATAACAATAATGTTTATATGACCAATGGTGAAGAAAGAACTCAAGGGGAAAAAAACCAGGCATTATGTCAGGACATTTTTTTTTTTTTTAAATACAATAGAGCGTTTGTATTTATAGAAGAATCATCTGGCAGCAGCCTGTAATTTTGATGAATTAGGGATCTCTGCTTGGAAGATAATAAAGCGTGTTAGGCAATAGCCGGCACTGTTTAGCAAATCGGGGATACCGGATTATGTAAGAGTCGAGTTTCAACAAGTTGACCCCTCGGAAACATAAATAAAGATTGCCCATCTGTAATTGTGTAGCTGCACTCAAGCCTTCCCCCACCCCTTTAAATAGGTTTCTATTGTTTGGATCTTTAACACGCCCTTACGCTTAAATCAGAAGGGAAAAAAAAAATGGCAGCGCGTAGAATGGTTGAAACAGTAATGGCGCACATTCACTGAGTGCTCACTTGGGCAGAGGCATTATCTTGTTTAATCCTCAAACAATCCTGTGAGGCAGGAATTTCTCATGATCTTCGTTTTATAGATGAGCAAACCAAAGCATGGAGGTGTTACCCATCTTGTCCAGGGCCACCCAGCTCATTGGGAGCACTCTGTCTCTGAAATACCTGCTCTGGGCACAGTACTTGACTGATTCTCCAGATGAATACAGTCTACTGCAGTGGTCCTTGTCGGGGTTGATTTTACCCACACCCCAGGGGATCATTTGGCAATGCCTGGAGCCATTTTTGGTTGTTATGGTTGGGGAAGGGTCCCACTGGCATCTAGTGGGTAGACACCAAAGATGCTTCTGAACAACCTAACATGCACAGGAAAATCCCCTGCCACAAAGAACTCCCTGACCTAACGTGTTGGTCATACTGAGGCTAAGCCATCCTGTATCTTTTTTTAAACCACATGAAATGAAAGAAGCTCTAATATGGCAACCTCTATAACATGGCAGATTATTTTATAATAGTTCCGTCAGATCCAGGTTCAGTCCTTAAATGTGCCAGAATTGTATTGTTCTTAGATAATAACTTCTTGGGGAAAGCAGTGGTGACCTCGTTAATGTTGAAAGATTGTTCTCAGCCTCTTTAGGTAAACCAGGAGCAGTAAATGTTACAACTGCTTTAAGAGCCAAATGGAAGCTATTTGGATGCTGACATTTAAAAATGAAGATGTGTTCAACTTGTTAATTCACTGGCGTAAAAAGAATGTAGTCAGTCCCCCATAAGCATGCCTTCACTTTTAGGATTCCATAACCTCTGTCTCTGACAGCCCTTAACGCCTCTTCCCTGGTTGAGTGGCAGGAGCAGGGAGGAAAATGCCCAATATATTTGAAAAAGATGGTTCACCCAAAAGATGCCCAAATTCACAACTGCCCTTCTTATTCTCTAGTTGTGGCCCTATGACGTAGTCCGCACTTTCTATCTCAAGATTTTCGCCTCCAGTCATGAGCCTGGTTCTTGTTTTAATTAAAACCCGAGCTGCATATTGGTTCAAGACAGCAACTAGAACTTTTTTGCCTTTACCTAATGAGACAGAACCCAGAAGGCAATCACATTATTTTGAAGTTTCCCAGACCCCAAAATAACGTTCATCCTTTGCAAACTGCAGGGTTTAAACTACACGTTCTTGTAACCCTGCCATCTCAAAGGAGAGAACATTGCCCAATCCCAGCAGGTCGGGGAGGGAGATGAGGACACACAGAAACACCACAGTTCAAAGCAGGGCTTTTCTGTCTCTGCAAATGGGTTTGCAGATTTCTTTCTTTACTCCTGTGGAAGCCAGACCCCTCTCTCAAAAAAAGAAAATGTGCTGGGATATTAGTTCTTACTAGCCATAGGTATATTTATTTTATTAAGAAAGGCCATTTTGCTTTTCCCAAAAATAGTAGTAGACACAGGACCGAACAAATCAGAGGCTGAACTATAGATCTGTGGAGGGACCTCACCGCTAGCTCAGGCGTGGGCTTTGCCATGCACAGTGCCCCACACTGTGGGTCCGGTATCTTGGTTGAAGCCTCCCATCAGCTCCTATTGTCATCCGTTTGGCACATGAAAAAAATTGAGCCTTAGGGAGATCGTCTGGCTTTCACAGGGTTATAGGTACATAAGTGGCTGGGTCAGGATTTAAATACAGAACTCCGTGACCACGTTACTCTTCCCCATTCTGAGCGACTTGAGAGTATGGACTCTGGACCAGTCTGTAAGATGCCATCAGTTTCCACATTTGGTACTGATGCAATTGCAAATCACTGTTTGGAAGTAATGGAGTTGGTATGTATTCTAAATAAAATGTAAAACAAGCTGAAGCAAACATAGGCAAATCTCTTAATTTTTTTGCCCTTGGGCTCCCCCATCTGTAAAATGGTAATCATCAGCTACCTATTGCCCTGGATTTTATGGAGAAAATATGAAATTTTATGTATATATGTATATAAATCCATACCCACATATTTATGTAATACACACATATGTATACACACATGCCTATATGCATACACACATACATGTAAATACCCCCCCACACACACATGCACGCACACAGACAGAAGTGAGGATATACTCCATTCCTCTACTCAGGAATTTTTGCCACCATTCTATACCACCGTGACCACAATTTTGGTGAAAAATGACATTTTTTGACAGCCTATTTTTTGTGCAGGTTGCATGAGATCAAGACAAACAAGTGTCCTTGCACTTCGCTATCCCCTTTAAGCCAACCCACAGAATTTTGTGGATTTATTTTCCTAAAGTGACTGAACCACTGTCTGGTAGGAAAATAACTTCTTATGGCAAACAAATCTCCTTTCAGTGGGTTTTCATATTTTTCCATCCTTGCACTAAAATGCCTGCCACCCTCTCTGGTTTGCATGCACCAATTTTTACTCAAAGCAATCCGCTGACACCTCCGAGATTTCATTATATTCCCACAAAGCCATTTCATAGCAGCAGGAGGCCCCAAGGAAGGGCACAGGGAACTCACCAAGTGGACTCAGAGAGTTGAGTGGGTCAAGAGTACAGTTTTTGCCCTGATTTTAGTAATGAAAAAGAATGAAGTTAATCAAGGTACAAAGAACCTGGCTTGCCTGTCCTCTCTAGCGAGAGGTCTACCTGAGTAAGATCCTATCATCCTTCCCTATGTGCTTCCTAGAAGGCGACAAAGACTCTCTCATGTGGCCTTGGGCTGCCTCGGCCCCTTCTTCACTGTCCCGTCCATCAGCCCTGTCCCTCCCAGCACTCACCTGTGCTCTTCCACATTAAAACTTTTTTTAGTGCTTCTCAGTATGATCTAGTTTTGTCGGGTGTTCACATGTTCTTTTGCAAATGTCCTGTATTCAAGTCTACGTTACCCTACACTCCTCCCTTCTGTGGCCCCCATTATCGAAAGCCTCGTGCCTTGTTCTGCTATCATATGTCATCTGTGTTCTCTTG